TCTGGGGATCACCCTAGTCATCGGTCCATCACAGACTACATGAAAGACTCTTTCATCCCAGCCACACCTAAAGGTCTGGATCTAAGAGAACTAGTCAGTTATTTCAAATTTTAGAAAGTTCAAATTGATTTTATTATCAATATTTCTTTAAATTGGCACTCACATGCTCAATACATGTGAGCATTAAAAAAAGGGTAGAGGGGGCCGGCCAAGTGGCTCAGTTGGTTAAGAGCTTGCTCAAGAGTGTGAGCTCTGAGCAACAGGGTAGCCGGTTTGATTCCCGGCCCGAGCTGAGCAGGATGGCTCAGCTAAAAAAAAATAAAAAATAAAAAAAGGGTAGAGGAGGGAAAGGAAAGAAGGAGGTTGGCTGGTTGACTACTGCTATTAGTAAAGTTTTAATAAATTCCCTTTACCAGATAAACTCAGTTAATCAGCCACAGAATAAAATTTTCACAGAGAAAGAGTATTTCACTTTCATTCAGTACATGGTTACTGAACATTTATCATATGCCAGAGACTACACTAGGGACTACGGATCCCGGTCCAAACAAGTTACCATCTAGGCAGGACACCGAGAGTCACAAAACGGTGATACGTACCCTGAGAAGGCACAGTGGGAACTCACAGGAGGTGACCTAGGTCAGATGTGGAGGTCACAGGAGGCTTCCTGGGGCAGTGCTATCCAAGGTGAAACCTGAACAATGCATATGATTGGGGACCGTGTTCCTGTCAGGGCAAATGGCTATGTGGGAAGGCCGGGGAGAGGAGAGAGGGCAGGACAGAGCACAGGAAATGAAAGACACCCAGCAGCAGACAGAAGTTGAGAGGGAGGAGGTTAGTAAAGGAAGCAAGGCCTAGATTAAGCAGAGATTCGGGCCATGTTAAGGATTTTGACGTTAACAAGTAATAGGCATTCTATGAAGGGTTTTGAGCAGGAGGTTGACATGATGAGATGTGAATTTTAGAAATACCGGTTTGAACAGCAGACTCGAGAGTAATAATGGAAAAAGGGAAATGTTAGAGGCAGAGACTTTTGTTTTTCAAAAATGTCAGTTCCCAGAATCATTGGGAGGGATGAAGAAAGAGAGCCTAGCTGAACTTTCAGGAACAATTCCCCAAAAATCCTGGCCAAGAAGGGAGCTGTTGCCTCTGGCAGGATTAGAAGAATCAGGACACTGCTCCACAGCTCCCAGCTTCAGGCCAGGCACCGGCAGACACACAGAGAATCCAGGTCGGAGGGGAGAGCAGCCAGAACTGGGATTATGACAGTGAGGGTGGAGAGGAGTGAAGAGACCTGGGATTTAGGTAGGAGGAAGAATGGATGGAGAAGGGGGCACAGTAAGGCATGACACCCAGGTTTCTGGACTGAAGCAACAGAATGGACAATATCCCTTACTGAAATAGGGTAAACCAAAGGGGAACTGCAGTGGGGAAAATGGACATGGGGTTTTGGATTTAAGGGGTCCAAGATATGTGAGGGATATCTAAGTAGCCAGTTGGAGTCAGGGGCATAGTCACAGTGAACTGAAGTCATGGGCAGGGTGAGGTCATCCAGGGAAAGCACCCAAGTCAGATGGAAGAAGGCCCAGGATGCAATCCTGAGAAACACACTAATACTTAAAGAAATCACTGTGACCTTTCAATGGGATGACAGGGTGGAAGGTGGATAGTAATACAAGAACGCCCACTGGACTGCTATGCTTAACACAGAGCTAGGACTCCAAGCCATCATTATTTTAAAAAGGAGGAAGAAAAGGAAAGAAAAAGAAGAGACAAGGAGAAAAAGAAAATAAGAGGAATAAAGATGGGAAGAACAAAACATCTGATTTGCATTTGATGTTAACATTCACATAGCATTACAGATAGATTCACAGAGAATCAGCATATTATTAGAAGTAAATATATATAGTTTAGCAAGGTTAATAGATAAAAGGTAAACTTTTAAAGAAACCAATTAATATTTCTCTACACAAGCAACAACTAGAAAATGTAATAGAAAGGTATCGAAATAGCAACAAAAACCATGAAGCATTTAGGAAATAACTGAACAAAGGATATGAAAGACCCTATGGAGAAAATCGCAAAATGTTAATAGAAGTTAAAGTAAGTTCTGGATAAATAAGACATTCTATGCTTTGGAATAGGTCAATTTAAAATTAGAAAGATGTCAGTTCTCCCTAATCCTTGTACACTGTTAGTGCAGCCACTATAGAAAACAGTACGGAGGTTCCTCAAAAAATTAAAAATAGAACTACCATATGACCCAGCAATTCCATTTCTGGGTACTGATAAAAACTTAAAAAGATATCTGCGCCTACATGTTCACTGCAGCCATTACTTACAATAGCCAAGATACGGAAACAGCCTAATTGTCCATTGATGGATGAATGGATAAAGAAATTATGGTACATAAATACAATGGAATATTATTCATCTATAAAATAAAAGGATGGCTCAGCTTAAAAAAATAAAAGGAAATCTTACCATTAATGACAACATGGATGGATCTTGAGGCCATTATACTAAGTGAAATAAGTCAGACAGAAAAAGACAAATTCCAAATGATCTCACTTATATGCAGAATCTTAAAAACAAACTCACAGGTACAGAGAACAGATTAGGGTTGGCAGAGATTGGGAGTAGGGGATGGGGGAAATGGGTGAAGATGGTCAAAAGGTACAAACTTACAGTTATAAAATAAGTCCTGGGGATGTAATGTACAGCATGGTGACTATAGTTAATAATACTATGTTGTATATTTCAAAGTTGCTAGGAGAATAGATTTTCAAAGTTCTCATCACAAGACAAATTTATAAGTATGTGTGGGAATGGATGTTAATTGGACCAATTGTGGTGGTCATTTATTGTGACTTAGATAAATGTCAAATTATTATGTTGTACACTTGAAACTAATACAATCTTATATGTCAATTATATCACAATAAAAAAATAAAGACTTCAGTTCTCCCTAAATCTATAAATTAAATGCAATCTCATCATTGGTTTTATATTGTTATTATTACTATTTAGAAACTCAAACTTATTCCAAATGCATATGAAAGAATAATGGTTCACAAAAGCTAAATCAGCATTTAAAAAAAAAAAGAGGAACTTGTTCTGTGAGATCAAACCAGTGTGGTTTGTTATGGAAAAAGAGACCAGCAGTACAGAATAGAGAATTCTGAAACAAATCCAAGTATACATGAGAACCTGCTGTATAATTAAGACTGCCCCAAAAATTATTGGGGAAAGGACAAAAACCATCAGGAAGGGAAAACTGGCTCTATACGTGGAGAAAAAATGAAAACCGATTCCTGCCTAATACTATATACAGAGGTGGACCTCAGGTGAATTAAGGACCTAAATGTGAAATGTAAAACTATGAAACTAATAGAATTTATGTAGAAAACATATTTTTAACATATGGAAGAAAAAGTTTTTAAATTAACCCCAAAAGCACAAAACTTATGTATTATCTATGCAAAACATGAAACAATTAAAAACTCTCATGTGTTGAAAATATCAAGTTTGTGGTGAATTTTTTATATTAAAAAATTAGAAGACATTATTTATGTTATTCATTTAGACATATAGGGTTCCTGAGTATCAGGGAAATATAGACAGCCCCCAATCTGTGATGGTTCAACTTACAATGTTTTGACTTTACAATGTGGGAAAGCTACTTGCATTCAATAGAAACCGTACTTCAAATTGTGATCTTTTCTGGGGCTAGCATTACGAGGCACGATACTCTCTTGTGATGCTGGGCAGTGGCAGCGAGCCCCAGCTCCCCAGTCAAGCACACCATCACGAAGGTAAACAACTGATACTCTACAGTGTATTCATTGTGTGACATGATTTTGCCCAACTGTAGGCTAATGTAAGTGTCCTGTGCACATTTAAGGTAGGCTAGGCTAAGCTATAATATCAGTAGAGTAGGTGTATTAAACGCATTCTTGACTTACTATATTTTCTCCTCATGATGGGTTTATCGGGATGTAATCCCATCGTAAGCAGAGGAGCATCTGTAATGGGTGGCTTTAATATACATTTAAAAGAAAACATTAAAATGCAGGGTAAGTACTATGAATATTTTTTATACTCCATAAATGCCACCTCTTCAGTTCTTCATACACTTCGATTACAGTCCACATTAACCCCCAAAATACCTAGGAGTAAAGCTAATTAACAAGAAACTCATCAATTATAATTTGCTTTTTTCCATACTTGAAAGACTTTCAAACTAAAAGAACTGGTATTACTCCCCTTAAAATCAGTGCTGTATCATAAGTCCTAAGCAAACAGACCAAGAGACATAGAATTAAATTAAAAATGCAGAATTTTGAAAGATGCATTAAACATATTGTAGTTATTATAAGCACAACTGAATGAAATTAAAATAATGTATAACTCAAATTTAGTTGAAATCTTAAAAGCTTAAGGTTCCCCTAAAAGCTTAGGGCTTCATCCCAACTGCTTTATTTCACTATAATCAGCTTCCAGAAGAGGTAGATTGGGGACCTCAGAATTCAAATATACTAAGAACAGTTGAAAGAAAAAGCAAAATCAGCAATTGTTTTGACATGAGATGTCTACAAATTAGACTTGAGTGTCACAGCTGGGGAAAGACCCAACTTCAGTGCATCACAGATTGCATACTTAAATCTTCATAAACTAGGCAAAAATATATTATGTATAACATTTATAACCCTCAAATGTAGGACATTTACTTAAATAAAAAATTCATTCATATTTCCAACTCCCTTTTCCCATCATGCTACTCTGAATTTAACCTTTCTTCAGAGCCAATAAAACCTGCTAAAAAATGATAATCGTATAATTTAACTTGTTTAATAAACTAAGATATGCCTTCTTCAAGCCTTGTTAAGTATTCCCCTCCGCCCCCTATCTACCTCCTGTGTATTTCAGAAAACTATAAAATTACCACTAAATGGTGTGATCCATAGGTATTCTAAATGTAGTAGATTAATAAAATATACCTTGAACAACAACCTGGCTGCCTGGGACAAAGAACTGCTGTGTGCCATCAGCTGACTGTGCTGCATACTGTACAAGTGTAGCACCTGGTGGAGGAGCTCCTGAATTTGTCATTGTTAATGCCTGCAGTCCCTGAACACCATCAGATCCTGGGTTAGAAATCTGGATTGCTCCACCTTGGGCTATAGCAACTTAACAGAAAGAGAAAAGAAATATTAGAGAATTTTAAGGTTCATTTTTAATTTCAAGCCCACATTAGAAGAACATAATCTGGGTCTATTTATTACCAATGCTTCTCATTCCTTCCCCCCGCCCCCTCATTCTTAGGTTATCCTTATTTCTCTATGTTGAATTGATAAGGAGATCCTCCTTCAGTCTGGAAAAACTCATAAACACTTCAAAATATCTTATATTCGGAACTGTTTGAAATATACAGAGCCCATGGAGTTTTCCTTCTCCCTGGCATCCTTCCAACTAAATTATTTAAGAGGAAGATTAAGAGGAAGAGTGCAGACAGGGAGAAAGTCCAGCTTCTTAATTTTCTCCATTCTTTCAGATATTTTTAGATATAAACAGCCATCTTCTAATTTTGAAGAAATGGTCAGTGAAATTCCATTGAGCATCATAATTATAGTAAATTTGTATCTTCACTCAGCTAATTACTTTTCCAATTGATCATGAAAAGAAAGTAGCTTTTAATGGAATATATATTTTATATTTTGGTTTTTAAAGCTCAAGTCTACAAAACTGTAGCCTTTACCATTCATTTTGACAGTGTCAAGAGGATCCTGAAATAAAAAATGTTAATCTGGAAAGGATCTTAAAAGGTAACTGTATGGAAACAATGTGTGCTATAATACTGACCTCTACCAAGTGTCTTAAATAACTCCGCTAATGTCAACAAGTAGGAGGATTTCCTCTAAATACTGAGACTTGCCAGTCAAGTTTAAAAATTAACACATTAACTAAAAGTTTCAAAAGAATAATTGACCAAGTGTTTTGTTTTCAAATTTCAGTGTAATAGACAAATAAGTCTAAATATCTGAGAGTTCTGTATACTTTAACATAAAGGTTATGACCCCATGTTACAGTTTAAACACTAGAGGTTAAGTGGAACCAAGGGCTATCTTTTCTTTAAATCACATATAGAACCAGCTAACTAGATTTTACAACGAAGATAAAAATAACACATCATCAGAATAACACAACAACAGTAAATCAATGTAAATACCTGAAAGGAATGTTTATATTAGTATCTAAAATATACTCTGAACATTTCCAAGGCATTCCCTAACCTTTCAACAGCATCTACACAAAGGACCACTTAGGTGATGACCTCATCCTACAAAACTGTGAGAACTATTGCAAAGAGTAACAACAACAAATCTTCAACTTTTTGACCTAGGTTCTAGGTCCTAACACAGAAAGATGGGTTAACATTTTTTAAAAGAGTTAAACATAGATACATTCTCTGCATTTTAGTTCACTGGTAAGCCAATATTATAGAACAAGATTGACAGAAAAGAATCAGTTACAAAATGTCAATAGTGCTGAAGTTGAGAAACTCTTATGTAATAACACTTTTATCTGGCTCATCTACAGCATTATAGTCTGTACACATTTTAAAAACAAGATTTCACCATGACTCTCCAAAGATTTCAAGGGTCTCAGGACTCACTCCTTATAATAAAAGGGTTTGGGAGAGATCTAACTATAATCTACCTTCTTAAAAGAGAAGTATGAAAAAGAAGATATAATACTTCCTTAAATCTTCATGGCTAGACATGAATAAATTTTAGATGTTTTCATATATTTGAATGTGTATTTTCAGTTGATACTTAGTTTGATGTTATAGAAATAATGCTTTAGAAAGAACAAGTATAGGCAGTGTAACCACAATGTTTAAGAAACACAGTCTCATGTTAATCTAAAGATAAGGTGAAATGAGAGAACAAGTGTTGATTTGGGATCAAAGAACTGTAATTTGGGGAGCACAGATTTAAACAGAAACTCAAACAGTGTCCAGATTACAGGGTGAAAGCAAAGGGTTTTTATGAGAAAAAAGAAAGGAATAATTATATGAAAAGAAAAAATTCCTATTGGAATTAAAACTCAGCTACTACTTGGTTATACATGATTGCTTACTGATTCTGATTCTATCTTTAAATAGAAGGTCCACAATCATGAGTCTGTGTGATCAGAATGTTCACTTTCCTGCTGACTTTGCAAACAATTGTTTGTAAAACAATTGTGGTTTGGCCCAGTTCAAGGAACAGGACTAACAGGGCAGTTCCTCAGAATGGCTCCTTCATGACATTTTTCACACTAGCAGGCACTCAATAAATATGATGAATGAATGGCTATCATTTCCTTAAAACAGATTGTATTATAAACAACTTAAGCCACTTGTGAATCTAGAAGATTTAAATGAAGCATAGTTTCAAGTTCTGGTAACAGAACTTAATTTTCAATGCCAATATAATTATCAAGCTAGTAAAAAAATCTGATGTGAGAGTAGTTGCTTCCAAGGACAAGAACCATGAAACAGATAATAAAGATCCTTGCTTTCTTTTTTCATTTCATACCTTTTTTTTTTCACCAGTCCCCCCTTCAATAGTGTTTCTCCATAGTTGCAACCAAAACTTATTTGCTTTCACACTGAAAAGCTGATATACAGCAAGAATCTGTTCCTCTCATCATTTTATTTTTCTGGTTAAGTCATTATATAATTAGATGTGAAAAACAAAAGCTAAATACATACACAAGCTGGCTCTAGGGGGAAAATGTTTCTACTGATAAGTCTCGTACTTTAGCTTAGCTTTTATTTTTTATAACAAAGGTGATCTTGATTTTGGCATTATCAAATGACAGAGGACCTTCCCATTCCAAATGTTACCTCTCATTTGACAATAAAGGAGATTTCCCAATGCTTAAAGATACTGGAACTAGGCTTTGTTTGTGCATATGTGCATTCAAGAGATTTAAGAAAACCTTTCAGGTTACAAAATATTCAAGGATGGTAATAATATGCGTTTTCAGTAAACACACATCAAGATAAATAGTAGGAAAAACTAAGATGAAACCAACTGAATGAGTTTAGTTCTATCTTTTGTTTTAGCGCTTTTTTTTAACTTATAAGTATTTTCTAGCAGACATAAAAGTATAAAGAATTTTGTGTCAAATTCATCTATTCCCTGCCTGCCCACTCATCCAAAACCTCTTTTTTTTGGGGGAGGGGGGTCTGTAGTATTTCATAGCAAATTCCAGACATCACATCTGGCTAATCCTTTTTAAATGAAATGTTTGGCCCATACCAAGGCCATTAGTAACTAATGAAAATAAAATGCCTTCGCATTTCCCACTAATTTTACTTTGGAGACCTAGGCATTCTTAATGCTTTCTTGGGCTGACACATGCAACTGAGGCATGAATGCTTAGACCTATGCCCACACTGTTAACAATGAAGCGTCCACACTGGTCTATGAATATTAATCAGGACTCAAGCAGAAGCAAAATTGGTTTTCTATTTCTATGCATACTATTTTCCTCTTTTAAGTAATCCTTAATAACATTAGTTTCATAAACTATCTAAATTGAATTAAAATTGAACAGCTAGATTATATAACAAACCAAATTCTACTCCAATGTTCATTTTTAATTGATTCAAGGCTGCTAGTATATTATCTGCTCATAGTAGTGGTAGATAGAGGTTAGGCTCTGTTGTCCTAGTTGCTCTGAGAGGTCCCTAATGTCTTCTCCCCTCCCCAAAGTCTCAGGTGAGCTATATCACACAAAATTAAGTAGGTCACTCTATCCATACGGGTTCATTGTTGGACACGTTGACCTTACATTAAGAAAGCATTTGTCTAGATAGAGTGCAATTCATTAATTTACTAAGTATTTTTCTAGTAAGTTAGTTTTAGTGGTTACACAAATGTGTGTATGTGTGTATAACATATATATATATTCTTATATAGTCATGGCATTTAGTTTCAAATCAGTATTAACCCAAGTATGCTTTCTCCATCTCCAATTTATCTACCACTGTTACCAGGATGCCATATTGTATCAACTAGTCCAGGCAATAAATTCTTTAAAAAGTCCTCATATACAAAACTGTGTTTAAAAAATCTGCTATTTCCATTACGCATTGCCATTGAGCACATCTCTCCTAATTAATACCACTGAAGGAAAATATTACTTACAGGATGAAAATTCAAGAATTTTGGTAAAAAAAAAAGTTAATTGAAAAATATTTTAAAGTCTTTAGATCAATAAAGAAGGAGAAACAAAAGAAAGATAAATAAGGGTAGAAAACTGGGAAAAGAGTTCATGACCAAATGAGGAAAGTGTAGAATTTACTTCAGATTTCACCTGACCTCTGTTTACTTGATGCTAACATCTTTTTAATCCTAAACCTGTACATATGAGCTCAAATATATAAACATATAAGTGTTTAATTATAATTTAAAGCCATCTTTACTCCAAATTGCAATAAAAAAATTTATAATTAAATTTTCACTGAATTAACTTTAAAAAGAACAGACTTTATTTCAGTGAATTCTCAGATTTAAATTCAAAAAGTGAGCACAAAACAGAAACTGTGAGTACCCTTGCCTTAAATGCAGAAGAAACACTAAAACAGCCTCAAGCCAGAACAAAAACAGCAACCCTAAGGTTAAAAAGCCAGATTTACATCAAGTAGAGTTACCTCGGGAGAGTGTACGCAAAGTCATTACTAAGAGTAATAAATGCAACTGCATTTACTTTAGCATGCGTAAGCCTATCTATCATGGGAAAATTCCTTTTATGAAGAATTGAAATCTATGTTTATTCATAAGTCTCCTGAGAATTTTGAATTCTTTATCAGTCCACACAGTTCATTTACATCTTTTTCATAATGGTGGATTTTGGATTGACCAACCTACCTTTATTGAATAAGAGTTCCAGTAAACATGAGTTAATAGAGACTCATTCTAAGAAGGTTTCTAGTAAAATAAAGTAGGAGCAAAGAGACAGGGGACATTTAGAAAAAAAATAATTTGAAGTCTGGGGTGATAGTCCTTAATAGGTAAGTGAAGAGGTTGAGTTGGGTATAGTAAAAGGAGGGTGAAAAAAACTTTAAAGAATTTTCTTTAAAGAAAATTCAATGAATTAAACTTCAAACATTTTTAGTGGTTTTTACTATCCATTTATGAATTCGCTCTCATTTAATGTGTGTCTTAAGAAGCAAGCTAACATTCCTTGCTAATTCTAAACCACCATGGTTAAGAAATATTCTCCTGAGAGCTGATTTTCTTTGACCAGAATGATTTAATGGCATGTAGCAGACCTATCGCTAAGATCTGTACTTCCAGTAAAGATTTTGCAAGTGTAGTTCATTTTCTTAGTGTTGCAATCGTGAATCCCTGCCCATTTTAAGTTCTTTTTCCTACCCCCAGGGAGTAGCCTATTCTAACTTTCACGTCTCAGTTTTTGTGATTAAAAGACAGGTTGAAATAATGTCAACTGTCAAATATCTAACTTTCTACTATTAAAAATGTAACAGCTTGTATATGGGGAAACCTGAGTATACTTATTTTTATTTTATTTCTTCAACTTTGACAAAGTTCTTTATTTCTTTTTTTTTTAACTGTAATACATTATACCAAATTAAAAATAAATTATATAAAATAACCTTTGGGAAAAAAAACAAAGTTTGGGAGAAAGTTATCCATGGATAAAAACTAAAGAAAGAATTAAACCTAAAAAAATTTTTACAATAAAAGGTTATAAAATTATCTCAAAAATAGGTGCATAAAATACATAGAAAAATCTCTAGAAATTCTAGTAAAATAAACTCATCTATTCTAAAATTCGAAGGACACCAGATTGTTTCTATATCTAGATATTTAGGGACAACATTAAAGAATCACTATCTGTTAAGTTATTCCTAGTAAGAAATATGACTAATGGAAATGGACCTTTGTATGTGTAAATATACATTTAACCTCCAATTATATGTATCTTATAAAAAGTTGAAATCTAGTAGTCACTCTTCATATGAAAGAATTACCTACACAAATAAGTACCACTAAATTTTGTCCAATGAACGCATTTTTAACAAATGCAATATATCACTTTTTGTGAACCAATAAATGCCAATTTTTACCTGCAGACAGCACACACAGAACTACCACACCTTTTCATTAAATAATTGCCAGGATCAATACTGTATGGGTCCAAATCAAGAAACCTAAATAATAGACAGTCCATGACCTCTAATGGGGCAAAGAGACAAATGCCCAACTTCTACACATGGGGTTTTCTAGTTCTTAACCACAGCTCCCGACGACTCCTCTCCCCACACCCACAACGATGTTTCATGCCGAGCCCCCTGCTCCAAGCTGCACTAAAAGCACAATAAATAAAGGCTTCGGTGCTGGCTACCATGACACCGCCATGGCTGACTAACATTGCTCTGTTTCATGTCAAAGTACCATGTCTCTTTCCCCCACTTTTACCTGTTATCTCCTTGGGTCCTCACTCTAACCCCAGAGTTTGGCAATTTAGTATTATTCCCACCTCAAAGACGACAAACCTGAGATGCGAAAATAAAGCTTCTCGTTCTGAACCAGTTGGTGAATGGCAGGCCCACGGTGCCTTCCCCACATCAGCTTCAATTAACATTCTCAACCCAATGTTTCCATGATTTCAAATTTTCAGCTAATAATCTAAGCAAAGTAATGCCCAGCATCCCCATCTACACCACCTTGAAAAGAAATCATTGCTTTGATCAATTCCTAAGCAGCATTAGGATATGCCAGAGAAACGTTCAAGACAACAGCATCTTAGAGAGTCCCCCAAACTTTAAGATATCTGAGCATTATTTCAGCAGTAATTTCCAACCTTTTCCCTGTCCCGACACAAACAGAAAATGATAACATGTGAACAAGTCCATTGCTCAAGGCTAGAGCTGAGCAGTCAGGAGGTCCCAGCAGCTCTACACAAGCCCTGTGCAGCCACTCGGGGACGGAGAACATGAGGAGCTCAGAGGTCCTGGGACCTGTGTGCTGCACCCTGGCAATCTCTGATTTTCATTTCTAAAACTCCCACCACAAAGTCACAGTGAGCCAGACACAAAGGCATATGAGTCAGAGAAGTAACAAAGGAGACAAACATAGTGAAAACCTCAAGGTCCAACTCTTACAGACAGTGAGGAGTTTTCCTTTCCTAACACTGACTTTAGACATGTCCACTCAGTGCCCTGTAGAGGCTGTGGACAAATTGTACCCCAGTGCTGCCAGGTATCATGGTAGCAGCTACCCAAAGAACTGGAATTACCAAAAGAGAAAGTTTAATACTGTAAATCTACCACCATTTTTAAGAAAAAACCTAAAAAACTAATGACTCTAGAAGGTCTTCCCATAGATTAAAGATTATAGCTTGCTTTAACAGCCAGGTATTAGATTAAGACTTGAGACTTTTCCTAAGTATTACTACTTTTTAAAGAGAAACAGAAAACATATCTAAAATCTTAACACTATTTTTGGACCAACACAGTATTTAATGTCACACATATTCCAGTACCTAAACAGCTTTGTTTCTTTTACTTTTTTTCTGTCTTCTCTCCCCTTCTTTCCCTTCCCAGCTCTTGTTTTTCACTAAAGTATTTTATGTACCAAATGGTCTTGATTTGGGGGGAAAAAAATCTAGTGCTTTAATTGGGAGCAAAAAGCACAGAATTAACAGTCCATTAAAATGCACAAGACTAAATGTGAATGTATCTGTTTATTTAGAGCTTTTGGTGCTTAAAATTTCAAATAAAATGATCTGTCCAATTATTGTAATTTTTAAAAATAAATCATTTTTCCATTGTGATCTAGGAAAAACGGCACAAATGAACACAATAGAGAGTAATGAAAACAAAATTACATTTAAAACATAATTTAGAAAACATATGTACCTCTTTTAAATAAGTATAAAATGTAATTGTTGGTAACAAAAGCCAACAAGAATGAAATACAGACATTTATGCCTTATTATGTTTGCATGCATCATAAAGACAACAAAAAACAGTAAGTTTTAAATTTTTACTAGACATTCTTATATAATAAAAAAAAAATTCTCCCTTTATTTTTCACCCAAAATTTTCTTCTACTCAGTAAAAAATTTTTTACTTTTCAAAAGTATATGACAGCTGTCAGTACAAATCTCTCACTCCTTTAACATGTACTTTTCATTCTATGATACACAGTTTATGTATTATGATGCATTTTAAAATGGAACGATTTAATGCCAAAACCCGGTTGCTTCCATGTAACGAGAGAAGACTTAAAGCTAGCACTGTATCATATCGAATTGCTGCATACATACTGTATTGCCCCGTGCTAGTCTGATATATGCTAGTCGGTACTGCCATGGTAGCGATGTTAGGTGGCGTTCCTTCTTCCTCTGATTTTTCTTCTTCAATCTTGGGAACAACACCATGCACATCAGAGGAAAGTTCATTCAGTATTTTTCTAAAATATAATTTAACAATACACATAATTAAGATACATGAACGAGATTTAAAACAGAAAAGCTATAATGGAAGAATTGGCGTGATGTATTACTCCCCTTTTTAAAAGAAGTATCATTACAGTAGAAACTTAATTAACTTACCGATAAGAGGGTCTTCGTGAAAGGATTTCTCTACGTTTATGAGAATCAATTACACCTTCTGATTCTGCAGACTCATCTGTCTCTGCAATTGTTGCTACCTATAATATAAGAGTTTCTGAAATGCATCATAAAATACATGATGTACTTCATTCAAAAAAGGGCAGTTAGGGTCTCTATGTGCAGCACTAAGCCAGGCGCTGGGGAAGTGCCCGGCAGCAGAACCCACTGAACCCGCACTTGGCGGTGTTCACACCTGGCTCAGCAAAGGAAGCACAGACACAGACACAGACACAGACACAGACACAGACAATTAATTCAGTTGTAGAACAAGTGAATATGGGAAGGAATGGTGCAGATAATACTACAGAAATGCAAATAAAAGAGTGGTTGGAGTGTCAAGTGAGGCTTCACAGGAAAGGCCTATACATAAGATACAGAAAATCTAAGATTCCAACGCTGAAAATACCCTCAAAAATCCAGCAGGGAGTGAGTGAGCGGGTGACAGAAGCAGAAAAAAGCATCTCCATTTCACTGCCCTCTTTACAACATCACAGCTGACTTGAGCTGGGTCTTCAAATTAGACATTAGATAGATCCAAAGAAGAAAGAATATTTAAGCAGGTAAACAAGTGAGTAAACAAGTCTGGTTGAAGTTAGGATTTATATTACAACCAGCAGGTTAGGGCTTAGTAATGGCAGGTCTTGAAGGTCAAAATAAAGAATTTCTCCTTAAAAGAAGGGTCAGAGTTTTAAGCATGATTTCATTTTTTTTCAAGTCAAGTAATAATACAATAACGTGATTATTAAGCAAAGTCAGAAAATTAAAATAATAAATCTCTACAACATGACTGCTCTCATTATATTCAGCCATTTATCATTCAAGGCCTAGGATAGTTCTGAGTTTACAAACTCACTTTACTTAATATTACAATTACATGGGAATTTGATTTGGACAAAATCAAAAGAGGCTATTAAACTATCAACAATGCAAACAGGAAGATATACGTCCCAAGGCACCTGGGCGTGCATGCACGTTCACCTGCACACGTGACCGCGCATCTCTGGTCATGGGCACCCCACACATAAGCACACTAGCCAATGAACAGAACTTACTAGAAAACGTGTTGTTGCAATCAGTCAATCATATATCGTCACCAAATATTTATCACTTTACCCTGGGCTTTCACACATCTCTCATATAATCATAACAACCTCCTTATGTGAGGTAGGCTATTAATTTATCCATTTCAGAAAGGCAAAAACTGAAATTCATGCAGAGAGATTAAGTGACTTGCCCATCATTCAACGGGTACGAATTTCAAGACAAGATCCATTGGCACCTATCTTTATAAAGATAATTAAATTATCCATTTCACAAAATCCAATAAAACCTACTGAATATAAGACAATACTTTCTTCCAGTACCAGCCAGGTTAAAACTAAGAAATATCTGCACCCCAAATAAAAGTCATAACATAAAAAAGAGAATGCGAAGACTTCCTTGTTTTATAATTAGGGTCAGAAAGAGTCAAAACATGTTGGAATCAAGAGTCATCACAGAGGGGAAAAAAAGACAATACTGAGAATTATTCTTACACTTTTGAACAAGACAGGAAAAGACACCTGGTGCTGCAAAGGCAACCAAGCTTTTAATGTATGTGGATTTACTACTTCAAATAAGTTGCAACCCTCACCCTTATTCTGCAATAAACTGTACTCAATCAAATATGCAGGAAAAAGATAAGACTAATTAAGTATGTGCATCTATGTTTTCCTCAAAGGTATTTTTGTCATCAATTGGGTTCAAATAATTTCAACATTTAGAGGATAATAAATAAAAAAGAGAAATAAATTCAGTAAATAAGTATGCTTTTAAAAATGCATGCTTAATTTTCATCTATTGATGCAAAAAAAATGTTTTAGTTTCAAGAAACATTAAGGATTTATGACCAACCTTCCTAGTAATAAATAATAAAAAACGTCTCTGGGTCACAACCACAATCATCACATCTACAAAACCAAGGTTTAATCTCAGAGGGGTACATGATGTATAACTGTAAGACCAAGAAGAAAAAAATATCATCATTTTCTATAGATCACACATACTGAACTAAAAATAAACTTAAATTTCTTCCTACCTACTAATGTGAGTATTCATGAAAACAGCATTAGTACTATAATCTTTATATTACTGTGTTTATCAGTCCTCTCCAAAGAATCCTAAAAATACTTTTAAGCACCATTGGAGAGCTTTGCTAAATAAATCCAAGTTTGAGCACAGAAAAATTTGTAGAATTACTCATCTGGCAATTATTTATCCTGCAAATTAAGTGCTGACAACAAAACAGCAACTCTTAAAGTCAACTCTACGTCTCTAGCAGAGCACAATGCACTTCACATGTAAAAAGAAATTCCTCCAAATATCTAATAAAATGACTCAAGCATAAAAGCTACACAAGGAAAAGAAGATAAGTGAATTAGTTTTTAAAAAAAGCAGCAGCAGCAGCAGTCAAAGACAAATCATCTGGGAACGACGCTAACCTGAACAGTTTGTATTTGTGGTGACTGAATAACCGATGGCTGTGGTGTCTGAATTACTCCCTGGACATGTATGGTTTGGCCTGAAGGTAACTGTACTAGAGTTACATCTGGGGAGCCTCTTCCGGTGCCTGATCCAGCTACAGAAACCTGCAAAAATGATCATCATTGAGGATTAAGGCTGGACCTTTCAATTTGTTCTTTTTGCTTTTTTTTTTTTTTTTTAAAGAAGTACCATTCACTATGATGACTGGCCTGTTTCTAAGAAATGACAAGCAAGCTGGGGTACTTACCAATTAGGAGGTGGTCACTGTCCTGGAACAGTCATTCTCTGATGTGATAGTAAAGAACCCATGCTCCTCGCTTTCAGTTCCCATGCTTCGGTGGCTAAGAATATTCCAAGCGCAAAGTTCTAAAGCAGTTAAACTACCTCACTACGACCTCATGGCTATTAACAGTGAAGCCTTATTTAGGTCAGAGTATAAACTACTCTCTCTAACTTTTTAAGAGAAATTGGAGACAGAAACTAATTATTTTTATGGTGAATTATTTTTCAGTAAATGAAATGTTTGACATGATATCCTAGTAGTACTCCAGATGCAAACTGATGCTTGATCTATACTGATGAAAACTGCAGTTACTTTTATGCCCCCATAAGCACAAAACAGGCACAGGCCAAAGAAATCCCAGGACTTCTCATGCCCTTAAGTGTCTCTGACTCAGAGAAAGCTCAGGCCTTGGAGCTTGTGTGGCCCTCTCACACTTTTCCTCTCCCCTTGCTTGAGCATCCAGAGGCCCAGAACCATCACTTAGCTTGCACAGAGAGAAGAGAGTACAGCCACCTCCTTAGCTACCTTGAGTACTTTCATCACTGATCCCTTCTGGCAAAATACAATACCCTCAAGGCCTCTGGACTCAAAACCTGCAAAGTTTTCTAATTAGTCAACTACTCAATCCTATAGGCCAGTGTAATCTTAGAAACTTTGCCTTATTTTACTAAATTTTATTATTCATTATGACTTACTCAAGAGTCAGACTTTGAAAATAAAAAAGCTACCAGTTTCTATCATGAGCAGTGGCAACACCACACAAATTTTGCAGAAACCTTCTGTGGGGCCTCTCTTTTAGGAATACACAATTTCTAATATACTTATACTACACCTTAAGAGAATTATTAAAAACTAGGTTTTACAACAAGATTCATTTACAACATCATTTCCTTAGAAGGTAAACTTTGGTAATCCAAAACTAAAAAATCTTTCCTCCATGCAAGAGAACCTATGTGGTGAGCACTGTACTAGGTGCTCAAGGGTAGAAAGTAGAATTGCTAAAACTAACACCTAACAAACAATAGCACACAAACAGTCTAGGCCATGAAAGTCATGGGAGTACAGAATAGAAAGATCAGTATGGGCCTGAACAGTAAGTGAAGGCTTTGTGTAGAAGCCATTGTTTGAGCTGGGCCTTGATATGAACCTGGATAACAGTGGGGGCAGGAAAGTGAGAAACTAGGGCCAGGACAACCAACATGTAACCCAAGAAAAAAATTCATGCCTCCTGCCCTGGAGTATTATTTACTTTAGATTTTAGGGGACAGAAAAAGGCTATCCCATAATGGAACCAGTAGACTTCACAACTAGAAGTTAAAAAAAAAAAAAAAGAATTGGGAGGATTTATTTCACAAATGTTCCCAGAACAAAAGGCAATTCTGTATGTATTTTAAAAAGGTATCTTCTTCTGTGTGAACCAATTACCAAAAGGTACTCCTTCCGCCACACAACTAATTGTCAAACTTTTTAGTTTCAGGGCACCTTTACACTCTTAAAAATTAATGATGAGGACCAGCCGAGTGGCTCAGTTGGTTAAGAGTTAGCTTAAGAGAGTGAGCTCTATGCAACAGGGCTGCCGGTTTGATTCCCACATGGGCCAGTGACACTGTGCCTGAGCTGAGCTGCTGCTGAGCTGCCAACATGTGGCAGGATGGCTCAGCTGGTGAGAGCATGTGCTCCTAACAAGACTGCCTGTTCAATGGTGGGCTATTCCCGCCCGCAACTAAGTCTGAACTCGGCACCTTCAGCTGAGCTGCCACCAGGATGGCTCAGTGGATAGAGCATGCATTCTTAACAACAAGGCTGCCGGTTGGACTCCCGCATGGGATGGTGGCTATGCCCACCCACAACTAAGACTGAACTTGGCACCTGGAGCTGAGCTGCCGCCTGGATGGCTCAGTGGAGCATGCATTCTTAACAAGGCTGCTGGTTCCATTCCCACATGGAATGGTGGCTACGCCCACCCACAACTAAGATTGTAACTAACATTGTAGCACAGCACCTTGAGCTTAGAGGCCACGAGTTGCCGTCGGGCAGCCAGATGGCGACTGGCGCCCTCCACAACTGAGATTGAAGAACAACTTGGCTGGTTCCCCTCCCCCAATTCCCCAATTTAAAAAAAAAAAAAAATTAACGATGACCTCAAAGAGGTTTTGTTTATGTGATTTATATCCAGTAGGGGGCTGTAAATGTTTAACAACCAGCTCTTGGGAAGGGAGATCCCTGGTCTGTGACTTTTGTTGATTTCTGTAATGTAAATACTCCTACTATGGCAGATTTCAAGCTACCAACGGGTGACACTGAACACAAAATTGGAAAAAGATGCGCACAATTGGCTTTCGCAAGCCGGCACCAGCACAACACTGGGTATGTGGTATCGATAGTTACCCTACTAGACATTAAAACTGAGAAATTAAAAAAAATACTTAGTAATTCATTTAAAAATAATAATTCTATTACATACTAACAAATAACATTTTATGAAGATTTATTTTCCTAAACAAAAAAATTAGTGATAAGTGTGTCAATGTTTTACATTTTTATAAATTCTTTTAATGTCTGGTTGAAATGATCACATCTAGATTCTCATATGCACTTCTGCACTTAATCTATTGCAATATCTTATTTTAGTTGTTATGTAAAGAAAATCAAACCTCACAGATATATGTTTGGAAAAGTCATATTTTAATAGCTTTTAAAGAAAAAGGTGGATATTCCTTGATACTACAAAACTCGACAAGCTGTTTCTTAAAGGTTAGTTGAAATATGGAATCTGAAACCATATCCATTACATTAAAATCCATTGATCTGTCTTGTACTTTGGATGGATCTTAACCCACACATGATTTGCTAACATTATGCAGTAGTTATTTGGAAAATATTGGCTCACTGATTTAAGCAGATCTCCCCATTACTAACACATCAGAAAAGCACATTAATTAAAATCAACATCAATCTTATCAGAAAACTGTAAATACTGGGACACTATCAAGATCAAAATGGCAGATGTAGGTTTTCCAAAATTCAAAACTTCTGCTTAAAAGCTGGAATTTTATCATCGGCAATAAACACTGTCAATTGTTTTCCTTGAAGTGACAAGCTCAGTTCATTTGCTTTTGAAAAAATGTTTCCCAAATACTCATTTGAATAGCCATATTTGGTTATTACCCATTCTTTTAACAAAAGTGATGTCCTGTGAAAAAACCCCAGCTAGTTCACCTTGCCATTCAATAACTCAAGTGCTGTTTTATTCAAGAACACCATTGGTCTTCAGTACATAGCAGAAATGCTCTCAGAATGTCCCAATTTCATGACACAGCATATTAAAACATGTACTCAAGGGTCAAGATTTAATACAATTGGTAATAGTTACTGTTTCATCAAGGATATTCTTAACTGAAACTGATTTTTCCCCCTTGCAAGTGAATGGCAGTAAAGAAAGCAATGACAACTATAGATTTTTGTGCCACTGACGATTCTTGCTAAGGCACCAATAGTTTTACCCCTATTCCTGTTTTTGTATCGTCAGTGCAAATGACAACACAGAGAAAAACGAAAACAGCTCTTCACATTATGATGAAAATAGTTCTGTCCTCCCAAACCTCCTGAAAGGGTCCTCAGTTTCCCCAGGGTTCTGTGCACACTTTGAAAATGGTTGTTATCCTAATGTCGCCCCCTAGGCTCTGGCAGAGTGCTGAGGCAGGCTGTGATTTCAGCTCCATAACCCAAACCGTCATATCCAGTAACCTTGATGTAGAGTTCATATGTCAGAGACTGAGAAAAATATTATGCAAATTATATCCAAGAATTATATATTTACAGTATTCTCACAGACGAGACCTGTGGATTGAGACGGCAGATAGTGTCCACGTTTGCTTTCTGTGGAGAAATGCTCCAGCTTCATAGTTAGGTATTTTGAAACAATTCAAAAAGAGTCATGGGGTTTTGATTCAAGTATAGTTTTCAGTATTTTAATTTATTAAACAATCGCTCTATGAAAATGGCTTAGCGTCAAGAATACCTGCTGTGGAAAAGGAGCTGTACCACTAATACAAAACCGTACTCTTAGAATTCTGGAGGTGAGCTATATGAATTCTATAACTACATTGAAACGTCTGTGAGTCCAAACTCTGGGCAGTGCAAAAGCCCAGGAGACAACTCTTTCATTAAACTGCTGAAATAAAGGCTGAGAACCAGCACAAGTGACATAACCTGGAGTTATAATTCAGATATATCCTTAACAAAAAAATCAAAACCTTAGATCTAGAGAATGTGTCAGACAATCTACATTCTCACTGGCTTTACCAAAACTAATAAGTGACTAGCATTAAGCCTATAACTGTATTGGTAAACAGGCTAAATGTCACCACCATTCATAAAAAAAAACAAAAAGTTCACACAGCTGCCTACCTTTAACATTGTAACATTGTATTATTGGGTCGTGGGGAAAGTCATGATGTATTTTTCTATATTTTTCAATACAAAAATGCGTCATGACTTTCCTGATGACCCAATATTATACTGATCACATGGGCCACAATTAAATAAATGGCACCCTTGAAGTTGGCACACAGATGGAACAGACAGAACAAAGGTAGTCACTCAAGAACAGGTATTGTGGCCCTAAAGCCAAAAATGGGTAAATAAAGAAGCATCTTTTTGGTTTGTGTAGGCGGTGGACTCAGTTTTAGGTAGGTTAGGTTGAAAGCAATGTAAGGCAACCAGTAGAAATGTTTACTAAGCAAGGAGAATTATGGGACTGATGCTTGGATTACAGCTCATACAGGAAATAAAGACCTGAAAGATACTGACAAAGTGCAATCTATAAAGAGTACTATAGTTACTGTACTCATAATGTACAAATAGAATTCTAAAGAAGCTCTGGAAAGGGAATTAAGACTTTCCTAAAAGACACTGTTACAGAGACATAAACTTTTGTTCACCTGAACAAAATTATGCATAGTGCAAATAGAAGTAGAGAAATTTTTCTTATAAACATCAAATATTCATTCCAAGACTTGTTATAATTGAAAATCGGACAGAAACAAGTCATACTTTTGAACTAGCTGATTCTTTTATTCACTCAACAAATATTTATTGGGCGCTTTCCATGTGGAACAGTCTAGACAGTGGGTACATAGCTGTGAACAAGAAAAGTCTCTGCTCTCCTAGATCAGGAGGCAGAAAATAGATGAAGATACAAATACATAATTTTGGGTGGGGCTAAATTCTTAAAAGAAAAAAATGCAGGATAAATGTTCAGAGAGTGACAAGGGAGCGTGGAAGGAGGTTATTTAGGATAAACTTGATGCAGAAAGTGTCTCAGGAGGGAACATTTATGCACAAATCTAAGTGAAGAGAGGGAAAAAGCCACAGGAAGCTATATGAGTATATTCATCACATTCCAACAATCAAGGAGGCACCTCCTCAAAAAAGTTAAAGACATTTAAGACAGTTAAACAAAAACATAAAATGGATACACTTTATATTTCATAATTTTATACCATTTTTTATGAGGCTCTGAAAGTGTGCAGAATGAACTCATAGACATAATTTACCTTTTTTTCCCAGCTCTCCTGAAGAATCATCAATCCTCTTCTATAGGATGCCTGAAACATAGATTACGCTGATGCCACCACATCCACCGAAAACCCCACTATAGACAGTTGTTAATCTTAAGGTAAGTTAAGGTGATACAACTGATAGCCATACTTGGCTTTCCAATTTAAAAAAAAATCCTAATAATGACACTTATCACTGGGAAAACCTCACAATTTTGTAACACAGCATTTAATTAGCACCTAGTAGACTAGCTCCAATCTGTAGCTAGGCTTCCTTCTGATGGGGTTTATGATGTCACAGTACAGATATAAATGTCAGAACTCCTGGGCCTGCACTCAAGGCAGTTAATAAAGGATAAAAAACTGTGAATTCACAATGTAACAGATTTTGTAATCAACTCTGCTGCCTGAAAAATCAAATCTATGTACTATTAATTACTTTAATTTTAAGGACTACAATGAAAAACTAACACTTTAAGCAAGAAGTTAGAAAACTACCTTGATTTCTGCATATTAAGACAGGATTCTCAAAAGAGTTCGTTTCTTCTATGAAAAAAAGTATTTAAAGAATATTTCAAATATCTTAAGGTTGAAAACAGGAAAATATAAATGTGAGCACTTGAATAAAGATGCAAAATATTTTATTTTTAAAGTCCTATTTAGTTGTGCTAAATAAAGAGAAACACAAAATGAAAAATGTAGAGTTAGTTTCATTTTAGTGTTTTTCCCACTGAGTTTTTTTTTCTTCTTTCAAACACTGTGGCTAACAAATTGCAAAATCAATGGAGTTAAATTTTACTTAATTTTTCCTTCAGGATATCAATTGAAAATATTTATTGATAACAGAGTTAGCCACATATGACTGATATTTTTATATTTACTTTGTTAAAATTCTAAATAGAACTACATGGGGGTGTTGCTGCCCCATCTCCTTTCTGTGTGTGTACAGCATAAATAAATATGATCTGAAATCTATAATCTAAATAAAACAAAAATGGGGAAGTGTATCACTTTCAGGCATTTTAAATATAAAAACCTGAATACTATGTCTCTTTAAAAAAATTCCCCTCTTGAAAGCAAAGCAAATGTCAGAATCAAGTCATTCTTAATTACAGGGTCTATTTTGATAATACTTCCAATAAACAGTATTGATCTTTTGAGGTCAAATTAAAATTAGGGGTTCTTTATGCTTTGAAAGTCAATGCTTTAATTTTTTTTCCCTAGCTAATCTGATAGTATCTTCAATTTCCTACTTACAGCAGTTGGAGCATCATTTTACATTCTAACCAAATGACATGTGTTTCTAACTGTGATGATTGGGTGTTCATGCTTTTGTGTGAGCTGTGCCTCCCTTAAACCTTGTTGTGACATCAGCACATTACCTGTCTGACCAAAAAAAAAAAAAAGGAGACGTGTTCCATTTATCATACTATATTTAAAATGTGCTATGAAAACCAACACGATCTTTATAGAAGTCAAAATTCCTTTAGCTCTAGAATGTTTAAAAATCCATCTTATGTTTGGTTTCAGTAAGGCTGAAACTAAAACTGATCATAATTCACTAGCCAAATGTATTTCAAAGTAATAAATACACATATTAAAGTAAGTTGCAATGAGATCCTGAGCCAAAAAGGGCATTTACCCAGCAGATACATTGTAAGAGCAAACAGTGGGTATTAAAAACTACTTTTAACAATAATACGGATCATTTCTAATAACGAATAGGAAATGTTTGTGCCAAAAGCCGGAAACTACAGAAAGAATGCCTAAAACCACTTATTACCCAAACTTCATGTTAATCTTTATTTCTGACAGAAATCAACTCTTTTAGGAACATCGATGAAGCAAACTGCAATTCACTTGAATTATCCTATCTTATTTCTTCTACCAATTACTTGATATAAGTCCTAAAGAGTACTGACTTGGCAAAAGCAACTTTAAAAAATAGTAATAATAAACAAAATATGGTATGTACATATAAAGAAATATTATTCAGCCTTAAAGGAAGTCCTATCACATGCTACAACATGGATGAATCTTGAGGATATTATGCTAAATGAAATATGCCAGTCCCAAAAAGACAAATATTGGTAATTCCACTTACATGAAAACTACAAGTAGTCAAATTCATAGAAATAGAAACAGAATGGTAGTTACCAGGGGCTGAGGGGAGGGCAAATAAAAAACTGTTGTTTAATGAGTCTAGTTTTAGATTTGCAAGATGAACAAATCCTGGAAATCTGTTTCACAACAATATGAATATACTTAACACTATTAAACTGTACACTGAAACTTGTCAAGATTGCAGATTTTATTCATTTTTTACCATACACACACACAAGAAATAGTAACTATGGCCTCAAATTTCGTGGATATGATACTTAACTTGCTTCTCACCAGGAAAACAAATTGATTTTACCGAAGTCAGTGGGACTGATTTCCTCATCATCTCATCTTAGAATTCTAAAGCTCTGGGTCTTCTTGTATCCTTGGCTCCAAAGTTAAAGTTCAACACAGAGAATGGCTATTGGTGCCAAGAATTACATGAAAACAATACTTCAAAATGGATAAAATTTAAATTTTTTATTCTTGTCACACATCCAAGGTCAGAGCTGAGTTGGGATCTAAATATAAAACTATCTTATCTGCTATTAAATAATGGAGTAACAATGGAGTATATATACAGAGGGTGCCAAAAAAATGTATACAAATTTTAAGAAAGGGAAACATTAAAATTGTAACACTCAATATATACTGATAATAAAAGATGAATACAAGTCATGTTTGACTTCTGCAATTACAAAAGGTGCTCAAAGTGCTTACCATCAGCGTCCAGACACTTCTGATTACAGTGAACTAATGCTTGAGCAACGTTGACAAAAGTGTCCACTTGTATACATTTTTTTGGCACCTGCGGTATAATACTGCATAGTACTGGGTATATACAGCATACATGTACATATATAGTTCTATACAGTAAATACACACTATATATTATATTACATTATTATATTATATTATATTATTACTACTTGCTGACTGGAGTTTCCAAGGTAATGCTCTCTGAAATGGTCTGTTTCAACACTGAGTACCTATGTATTGTAAGAAATAAAGAGCTTAATGAAATCTAAAGCCAGATTGCCTGGGTTCTAACCTTTCCTCTGCCTTTTATTCACTGTGTGACCTATCGTAAGTTATTTAGCCTCCGTGCCTTATTTTCCTCAACTGAAAAGGAAAATGAAAACAGTACCTTTCTACAGAGTTGCTGCAAGGACTGAGTCAATTTGTATAAAGCACTTAAGAACAGTACCTGGAAAATACTGAGTATTCAATAAATGCTCACTTTTGTTATTTTTATTACTGTTACATTTCATTTAAGTTAATCTTAGATTAATTTTTAATTAAAATACTCATTTCATTAAATCTGCCAAAATAGAGGTCTACTGCTGCATAGAACATACCTATTGGAAGGCAAATGTTTTTCCTGAACTTTACTTCTGCTTGCATCATATTCATCTGATACAGTCTCTTCATACATTCAATACATTCAATACCATAACCAGGCTTTTCACTCCCATGCCTTTTAGGAGGAAAACTAGAGAATTACCTCTGACAGGGCTCAGAAAACTCACATTTCTGAAGAGCACTATATAAGATGTTATCATCACAATCAATGAAGTGAAAATTTCCCAATGTTTTTTTCCAAATGTAATTCCTTTAACGATATGGGGTTTACAAAGCTTGTAGTAACAAAAATTAAAATAAGGCAAAGTAAATAATCTCTGAATCTTATTCAAAGCTGAAACTACAAAAATTTATGTTTCCCCTTTTCAAATTTCAATGTGTAGTCTACCTTTTGTTGTTTTTTTATTGTGGTAAAAATTCATAACATAACATGTACCACCTTAACCATTTTTAAGTGTACAGTTCACCAGTACGATATTCACACTGCTGTGAAACAGCTCTCCAGGACGTTTTTATCTTGCAAATCTGAAATTCTATACCCTTTCTATATAACTCCCCTATATCTCCACCCCCCAAACAGGCTACTTTTACTACTTTTATCAGAGAAAAGGGTAAAAAGAATAACTGCGTTTATACTCAGTTATTTCCTTATTAGTGCTGGTGACAAACTACCTGTTTTTAAAACAGAGAACGTTAACATCAAACAAAAAAGTACCCAAACCTCATAGGAAATCACTACAAATGGCAGAAAATCTTTACCTCTCAAACACTAAAATAAATTTGGATGCATTTTTTTTCCGGTGATTATAAGAGGTATAAAAACAAAATCTTTTTCTGAAATTTGGCTGATGTATACCTGCTTAAATTACCTTTGAAACATCAAATTTTATCCAAAGCCAAGTATTATCACTTTTAATACACTGGGATGAAAACATAGTGTATTCTAAAGCCAAAAGCTAACCTTTAAAGAAATCTCTATTAGCTATTACATACAAAATTATAAAAATATGAGTACAGGGGCCGGCCGAGTGGCTCAGTTGGTTAAGAGCTCGCTCAAGAGTTTGAGCTCTGGGCAACAGAGGTTAGATTCCCGGCCCGAGCTGAGCAGCGGCTGAGCTGCCAACAGGTGGCAGGATGGCTCAGCTTAAAAAAAAAAAAAACTGGCTTGGGATGCCAGAGGGCACCGGTTTGGATCCCACATATGAGGGCCAGTGACACTGCCCTCNTGGTTAAGAACTGGCTTGGGACGCCAGAGGGCACCGGTTTGGATCCCACATATGAGGGCCAGTGACACTGCCCTCCACAGCTAAGATGCTGAACAATAGCTCAACATGGAGCTGGGCAGCCCTGAGTTGCCGCGACGGAGTAGGCTGCAGCCCCTGTAGCAGTGGGTTGCCATGGGCTACCGTGTGTAGCCAGCAGCCAGTGTGCGCGGCCAGCAGCCGCAGTGAGCGGCTGTCCAGAAGCCAGCGGCTGATCTGCCTCGCCCGGGAAGAGCGCAATGATGGTGCGAACTTGGGCCAGTGAAGCAACATCCTCCACAACTAGACTGAAGACCAAAACAACAGCAACTTGTGTGTTCC